CCCATGCCTACATGTACAATGTATTTGATTCAGTATATTGGAATTAATAATTTCCTTTACCCTAGTTTTCAGTATCTCTTGTTTTAAGCCTTTTCATGTACTTTGACAGAGTTATTTGCGAACAATGAAATGTTTTCACATATGATGAGCTGATGGTAAGATAATTGTCCATCTTGCTACTGAAGGTAACTTGTGTTCCACATGCAATATGGGCACTAGCCATTGGCATCTGTCACTGGGAGTGCTCAATAAGGGCCTACATGTACATGTAGCTCTGTTATTGGTTGATCGATGTCGGAATCGGACACGAGAATTGGGCCAGGAGATGGCTGAAGTACTTACTTGGTCAGTAGGTCAATGTATGAATCTTCCTGAAATGTTGGCTACTGCTAGAATGCATCATGTTGAGGGTGGATCTCTTGAGCATTGTAAGGAAATTATTATGATTTCATACACAAGGACCCGTTAGACTCATGATTTAGTACCACAGATCACATTGATGAACAAAAGCATCTTGTATCATCATGTACATGGATCAAGACATGTCATGTATGAGCTCTAAAGATTAACGGTTAGTTTCAACTAATTCCAAATGTTCAAACTTCTTTCCTCACATTGTGCAGTGTTTATAGACCCCCCCTATCCTTTGCTGTCTGTCTTGTTCCATCTGTTATCATTTTGCCTCCTTTTTGTATTTACACACATTTCAGTATGTCTTCTTCCCCATTCTCTTCACTCTTAATAAAGAGGAGTTTTGTTTCTTTTTTTTCCCTGTTTTTGTTCGGCCTTTGTTTTTCTTTCAAGCACCTACATGTACAGGTTTTTTCAGTCATGTAGTTCATAGATTTACATGTACACATAAATATATGTGTATTTACCAAAAAATTGTAATTTTGCATGAAGTCATTCTGGTAGCTGGAAGGCACCGACATCTTAACTTTATTTCCAGTTCCAAACAATTCTAAACAAAAGTAATGGCATTGCTGAAAATATGGATATTATAATGCAGTGGAAAATAAAATGATAGTTAGTGAATGAATGAATCATTGATCGATTTTGTTCTTCTTTCTAGCCAAATACATTGGCAAAGTTGATGTACAAATCCATAAAGGTTACCAGATTGTATTTTTGTAGATAACAAACCACAGAGTGTGCCATGGAAAAAAGTTGGAGTTTCACATCAGAAAGCAGAGTGAGATATTCGTTCCATTAGGCAACAACTGTGTAAAGCCTGTCAGGAAATTAAATCATGGGCTTGAAATTTGATTAAATATTTCAATCTTGAGAAGTGTGTGAGGAGAAGAAAATGTGATTAAAAAAAGTAAAGAAAGAACAGAAGGGGGTACAATTGAAAGAAAAAATTGGGAGAAAAACACAGGAAATGATAAAACTTCTCCATTAGTAAGGCTAGGCGAGCGTGCTATCCCAGACAGAAACTGATCCCCTACAACATACTGACATAGTCCTCAATTGGATTTGATGAAATATACTTTGCTCTCTCTCAATATGACATTTGAAAGGCAAAGTTCAGTAATACTTTAAAGAATAAGATCAATATGTTTCAGTAAATACTAAGGAGCCTCAGAATCAATTTAGGTTTCCCTTGAAAATGAAAAAGGTAAACCAATTATGATAGCGACAGTGGTCTAATCTCATGGTCATGAATATATTACAGGTTTAGGACAGCATGTTGTTGCAGTCTGCTTCATTGATTTGCATTGATTTCCAATGTACGGTAGATGAGTTAGGGAGCGCTGCTTGTCCTGTACATGTTTCTAGGTTGAGGTTGACCGTAAAATCTTTGAGCTCAGTTAACATGATGAAAACATTCAGTTTTATACTTGTGTACAATACAACAGTAAGTTGAGTAAAAATAGTATTGGTACTTTTCTCCCAACAGAATCAAGCTGCTGGTTGCCAAATGGCTCTAATCCTGAGCAGTTTGTGGGAAGAAAACTCTCCAGTATTAAAAAAAGCAAGTGGCTGCAAAAGTGTACATCCCTTGAACTTTCGTTACTGTTTACAGTTCACCAGCTGAACTGAGCCCCGTTCGAGCAGTGCAAAATTGTCAGGACAGGTGTCCTTTGTGGAAGGAAGACAGGGCTATATTTAGCTGCCTAACTCCACTTATGCTACACCTATATCCCCCTTAGACTGGTCATTGGTTCCTCCATCTTACAGGTGGTACTGTCCATGACTATCGTAGGGCTACTGCTCATGTCTTTTTAATAGTTCACAAAAAAGCCACAGTCACAGCATAGCCACTTAAAGGATCCAGGAAATTAATTTTTCTTAAAATCACTTTTTGTGTATCTCTGTACTCGTCTTCCATGTATGAAGACTGTTTGACATCTTTTTTGAGTTATGTGAACTGAACGGTGCACTTTTTCAAACATTAAAAATTGACCAAGCATTTCTGGACAAAAGAGGGCGCTTTTGCTTTGATGTAAATCCAGGAAGACATGGTTCATGTTGCATGTTTTCATGTTCAAATTGTGAACCCCAAATTTGCTATCTGGGAACATTTCTGTGAAAAGGATTTTGAAGTACTTTGTCCCTTAAAATCTAGCCTTTCTGGGAGTGGTACATGTACTGATCTGTACCATAAATACACATGTAAGTGGTTAAAACATGTGGGAACCATTGAAATACATGTATCAACAGCCCTACTCATGCTCCTGTTGGCATGTATGCAGCACCATCATTAGTTTGACAATATGGCTCATAAATTAGACCAGAATGACTACAAGTTGGATTATTTCCCAGACTAGTATATGAGATTTCAAAAAAACAGTTTGGGGGGTTTCACTTGTATAAATTTGTTTCTTTCCTTTCTGATCACAAGTTTTGTAGTGGACATTTACTAGAGCCAGAGGGAGCCCCGACACATTATCAAGCAGTATGCAGAGCTCTGCTGGCTGAAGTCAACGATCTCACATCGTTCCTTCGAGTCATTGCATCCAGTAAAAAGGTGAGATGTTCATTAACCCTCAGATTGGCGCAGACATGAAGCAAAATTGAGTTTTTATCTTGAAATTCTTGTTTTTGGTGTAGAGTACTGTCTTGGTATCGGTGGATTGCCAAAACAGCTCACTTCCTGGAATTATAAGGCTGTGCACATGCAGCACCAGCTTTCATGGATTTCACTATTTGCCCGGGTTTGCTTATTGTTTATTTGTTTATATTTGTTTTCCTTACTGTAGCTGGAGGCTGAAGTACATGTATTTAACAAGATGAGAAGTAAATTGAACTTATCTAAAATGTTGGAACTTTCTTTAGAGTTTACAAAGACTTCATGCTGAACACGGTGAGGAAGAAGAGGCTCATCTTGAAGATATTCAACCCAAGCAATGGGTAAGTGTCAACTGATCATCTAAAAACAACCACTGTGGATTCTTTCTTTGGCAGTATTTTAATAGAATCACACCTTTGCAGCTCAGCCACAAGTACATCCCATGGAGTATGATATCACAATTTGGATTCAAAACCAAAGCATAAGGAATGTGCTGTAATGCTGGAGGCTTCAAAAATGCCCAGGAATTTAGTGCTGGATTTATTTTTTGAAGTATTGCCTGGCCTTGATAAACAAAGGACTATCCATGCTCTACATGTACATGGAGCTGGATTTGTTCATGCCGTTACAATGGTGATTTATCATTAAATTGACAAACTTCCGGAATCCTGTCGGCAAAAATTCCCTGGTCGGACAATAGTTATTGTTTCTTGGTGCAAGGTCCCTGTACTTGGTTGTGAATGGCAAGGTATGCATGACAATATCCAGCCTACATGTATTGTCCATGCTTCACTGCATTTGAGGACAAAACCAACCCACTCAGGGCTCACTTGATATCACAAGGCAGAGGTGTAACGTCCAAAATGTTTATGCCTAACAAGTATTTTCAAGCAGGGTTGTGACAGTGGGAGAAATTGTTTTTTGTAAAAATACAAAAGCTTCTTCCTATACTTCTGTACATGGCAAATTCAAGCATGGAAGAAGACTGTATAAGGAATTAACATTAACTCGAAATCTCCTGAGGAACGTTGCTGGGAACATTCCTTAATCCTAATCCTGCACTGCACAGGACACTCAAAATGAGCGTACATATACACATGTTCTTGGAATTTCAAGGATGAAGCGCTTTGTAATGTAATACTAAGGCTGTGATATCCTCAGTCTTTCCGACCATTCAGGTAGATTTTCAAGGGTTCGGATGGGGGTTTATTAGGGTTATGGTGGGGTAAGTGTTTCATGTTCGGTACATTTGCTGATTTTTTTTTTGGCTGATGTTCAGGTCTTTCACTTTGTAAATTATACCTGTGGTGTAATTGCGATAACCATCTGAACATTTCTTGTTGGGACATCTGACTAAAAGCAAGGTAGAAGGATTCACAATGGAAATTAACTTAATGTGTGTGTACCCTTCAGTGTGCGTAAACCACATGTACTTAAGTTTCTCAAGAATTTACCATAAAGCACACTTTATTCCTTTTTTTTGATTAGTAAACCCTGTTCAGTCAAACCTATTGCCTGTCCCTGTGACCTGAGACCTCACATGCATTCTACCATGGATATCCTTGGAAAGAGCCTCGACATACGGTACATGTACAGGTATAAGGATTCCAGCTTTGTTCAAGTTTGTTCCTTTTATCTCCTTCAGGCCAGGATATGGATGCAAGTTCTGCAACAGCTGCGGCAAGGAGTCAAGCTTAAAGAGATCAGCGATGCCTCCTATCGCAATCGCATCCCCATCGAGTATGAACTCACTCCTTACGAGATCTTGATGGATGATATACGATCACACAAGTACACCCTCAGAGAAGTCCTGGTGAGGCTTAGGTGTATATAACAAGTCAAACAATTCAGACAAATCCTCCTGACCTGACCCTTCTGAAAGGATACGTGGTGGAGACGCTGACACAAAAAAGTGGGATCTGCATGTACCGGTACCATCTAACCTGTAGAATAATTCATATCGACCCTTCCCTCACTGGATCACAATCATGTTTTTGGCATTTGGCTGTTCACAACAAAGTGTTAAGTGTCAAATCAGCAATACGTGTAATAAATACTACTGCTAAATATTAAAAAACAACTCCCTCTCTGACATTTAATAAGGGGCAAATGTGCCGACACTGTTAGCAACCATAGTTGACAAAACTTTCTGCAAACGTTGGCTGCTTCTACAAATAGCAGGCCATAAGAGAAAGGTCTATTGGTCTGCTATTCTACTAAGCTATCCCTATATGTAGGCCCACATGACTGTTGGGCATCTTTCAGACTATTAGTTTGAGAGCAGTTGTGTTCACCTGATGTCACTTCTTTGACTTATCCATCAATTGCGATTTTCGAGGCTGCACTATAAATGCACTGGCTTTGGATGGGTAATAGTGGTATACAAGTAGCATGTCATCAGTGTCGATGATGATTTCATCGACAAGTGGCAAGTTTATGTGCTTCAAGAGGTGGAGAAATGTTACCATAATTGTCTGTGTTTAAGAATGCACACAACATTCCTGTGCATGAAAATGCCAGTATGGAAAATCACGAATGCTTGATATAAGTTTCATTGGTACTCCTAGTTCACATGGTTTTTAATTAGTTTGTTCCATTTCTGTGTCGTGTTTATGTTCTGTATCATTTGCCTATTTTTGTTTCCATGTACCGATGTTACTTGATGTTTTGTGATAAGTCTGACTGCTGCTCTAAGTTGGCTGAATGAATTAAAAGGGGCAAGAGCTCATTAATTTATTTACACCATCTATGTGTTCTTTCCCCTTCCCATTTTAATTTTTTACCATGTAGGTGAATGGTGACTTACCCCCTAGGGTGAAGAAGGAGGCCCATGATGTCATTCTGGACTTCATCCGGTCCAGACCACCCCTCAAACCAGTAATAAATTGTTTTGCTTTGCATTCTGTGGGCCTGAAGGGGACGCTTCAACCCTTTCAAAATAGGGGTGTTTGTGTTCGAACCTTGTGCAATGCTGAAGAAATAGCTGTGCTGATTTCTAGAAAATTAGACTCGCAATAACTCACTGTAACTAAAATTTCCCAGCAAATAGGCTATGAGTGGGCTATGCATAATTCTGTAAGAAATTCCTAACGTTTACTTAAACTTTAATCCTACCATTTAATAATGTTGTTTTTGTTGCTGCGTTTCATTTTGTTCACTGCTTGGTTTTCTTACATGTTTTGCTGTCCTGGCTTTCAAAGTGCTTGTGATCAGTGTGATGCACTAAATATCAGTCCAGTATTGGCATGTTTTTCATAAATGTTAACACCTGATGCATGAACTAACCTCGTGATCTCCTGTAATGTCATTTTGTCTAATAGAGGTTATGCGTTAATGTGTCCTCAGAAGGAAAGCGTTTTTATCTCTGGGATAGGCTTGAGTAAACGTTTTGTGCATTCATTGTAACAAAATTAAAGTAACCAAAACAGCTTCAAAGACAGCTCTGTTGACAGCTTCAAAAACAGCACTTGGGAGACTTGATTGTAGTTACAGATTTCTGTTTCCAGACTGATTTCCCATGCGTAATTTGCTTTTTCAAAAATTGCTAACAGTCATTTTGAATTTTTTTCAGCATGCAAATGTTTCCATTTTGTAAAAATAAGTCGAAACAAAAAAGCCATAGCTATTGATCTTCCATCTCATTTTCCCCATCTTGTTTCTTAGAATAAGTTTTTCATTGAATTGGCTATTTCACAAAGGAAGACTGGGTTCGATTTATAAAATAAATATGCAGTTTAGTTTCAGATATTCTTATTAAGGTGATGAATGCTTTGCAGGTTCCCCAAAATGTTCCACATCCTCTGAGGACAGAGACTTTATATGAGAGGTTACTGAGAGACATTCGCTCCAGGCCTCCACTGGCTCCTGCATCCAGTAGAGTCCTCCCAGGTGGGTTAATGATGCCTCGCTGGTGAGATTTTTCAGGATTGAGGACAGTAGAGTTAGTCTCTTCTACTTGATGTGGATCTGGCTACTTGTTGAAAGAATTCGTACTTAGTTTTTGGCATAGTGATGGATTTTGGAGGATTCAGGAAATTTAAGTTCCTGTTAGGAATGCTGAGGGAGTTAAGGAGGAATTTTACAGACTTTGTATTAAAATGCATCATCAATGTAAAAGAATTCTAGCTTAGAAAGTTTGACTTTCAGAAACCGAGCTTGTAAAACAAGTCAGAAGTTAATTTCACTGTTCGACTAATGTGAGTAACTTTAGAAATGGTGTCTCAGTCTGGCAGAAAAAATATCAAATTTGAGGTCAGATATTAAGCATTATACTAATGTTGTGATGTTCCAAACACATACAAAATTGGAGGAATGAGATATCATTAAATTGATGTTGTTGAGACCATTACAAGACACAAGTAATAGGATGAATAGTGACAAACAAATTCTTTTGTTGTGGTTCATTTGAATAAGTTGTGATTTAATTCAGACTGGAAGAGTTATGCTGGTCTGGTGGGGTCTTGTGATGGTCTTTAGAGGTGTCGAGTGCAGATCCAGGTAAAAACTCTTTAGTTGTATCCTGGTATCCAGATTGTTTCAAACTCATTATTCCGGGCTCTCTCCATTTTGTGAATGTAGACCGGAAGGCCAAACCTAAGAAGAAAAAGAAGTCGTCCAAAGCTCGGCCTAGGATACGTCACCAAAGTACCAGTGAAGGCAGCTGCGCCTCCAGTGTAGACTCAGAGGATCTAGAAATATTTGACACATCACCAGAGCTCCCTAGAAAAGTGTTACGAGCAGAAATTACCTTGGATTGGTCAGATGAGGTCAGTCAATACCAGCATTTCACAACAGTGCGCCTCCAAGAGTTTGCAACGCATTGGCCAATCACAATGTGCGAAATTTGTCGACCCAATGCGTGTTTGGAATGGGTCGACAAATTTCGCGCTTTTTATTCACATGTCCCCTGGTACTTCTAATACCTTCCCTTTGAGCTAGAATTTTCACAAGCGTCAATAAGGCTGTCGGAAGATGAGTTGCAGCGGAGGGTGTTGGGTGCGGGGGGTGGGGGTTGGAGGAGAACAACCCACAGAATTGGGAAGGAAGGAGAACATCCATTTCACATGGTCAGCCTGGGTGGGATTCGAACCTTGGTCACATAGTTGGAAGGCACAGAAAGTATGATTGTGTAAATCTGCATAGCGGAAGCTGATTGGGGAAGGCATTATTGAGAGAAATGAGATTCGGGGGGAGACTGAAGAGTAAACTCAGAAATAACAGAAAGGCTTAACTTTTCATAGAGAGCAAATTCTCAGTGAATAATTCAAATTCATAGCAGAACAAAATCTACTTAAAAAACATCTCTCATAGCTTCACCTACCTGTTGTCAATTATCATTCAAGAGCAGAGACTCACAAATATGGGTTCCTAATGGAATGGCACACTGCTGACTTGTTTCCAATCTTGGCAGCTGATGTCAGATCCCTCCTGGAAATATCAAATATCAATGAGACTTGGAACACTGATGTAGATGCAATAGATACACCTGTTTTTTTGATAAGTTTAGAATGCTAAAGATGAGATACACATAAGACCTATTGGTCTTGTTTGTCATCAGCTTAAATTAAAAATAATGGAAGATGAATCTTCCAAAGCTTACGAGGGATGAATTGAAAGTGTGCTTGTGAGTTCTAGCTCTTAGTTGGCCAGATTGTGAATGTTTCATGAGACATAACATGTACATTTCCTGATGGAATTTGATGTCTCATTCATGTGATTATTGGCTTGCCCTCTGGTACATGTAGTCTTGACTCGTCAGGGTTCTTGTTCATTTCTGCTGAGTTTGAGTCTGAGTTCCTACAGGGGAGCAGGTGAGGTACATGTACATTGTAGATGGTGGCGTTGTAGGATGACATATAGATAAACCATGAAGGCATCAAGTAGGCAGTTCATAATGGTAATGATCTCAAGTCAAACTAAAACAGACCTTAGTCTTGAAAAATCGTGGAAAGGGGCAAATTTGAGGTTGTTTGCAATTCAGAGAGTTTCATTAAGCAAGTGAAGACGATAACAAAGCAATATGACAATTGCTTCAGTAATCTATTTTGGCACATACCTCAGGAGTGGGGTCCAGGCAGAGTTTGCCTCGAACACCAGTCAAGCCGATTATCTCCAGCGTGTTGTCTCTTCTCTCCAGGATGATGTAACTGAATCGGATGCCAGCCGGCTAACCGTTACACCACGCAATGACGACTCGGATCTAACACCTCAACCTCAGAGAGATCAATTGAAACCTTTCCGACGACTGGAAACACTTAACGCTCCCAGCTTTGACAGTAAGGCTCCAAACCACAGACCCGGCGATGCAACATTTGAGTGTCACCGCTGATTGTCTTGTTCTTTTACTACAAGCCTCTGTCATTACAAATTGAAGACTCTGTAGGAAGTCTTCTACAGTTCGTCCTTTCCCTTTATTCCATAATGTTTTTACTTTTGGAAGTTGAAAGTGGACCCAATAGCTTTGAAAATGATAAGGTCCTTAGATTTAAGAGTCCCTGCAGGTATAATGGGTGTTGGAAAAAATTTTAGAGGCATGTATCTGTGTCGCCATTTGGAATCTGTCAGGAAATAGATTATTTTGCTCAAATGACTCATGTGGACCCAGCACAGTGATTACCCAGTGATATTGATGAGATTGCATTTAAGGTCAGTGTTGAAGTTATGGCACACCACCATTTTTGGCAGATATAAGTTAATAAATTAACCCTGTGCCCTTGAAACCTATAAAAACCATTCCATTACTTGATTGATCATATCATGTTATAGTAATGATAAATTATTCTTGATGTAGTGTTTTACATTAAAATCTCAAAATGCTTCACAAAATAACATTAACAATATACCAGGAAGTTAATTATCGGTTAAATTTAAGTACAAACAATTAAAATCAACATCTAAGAACAACAATTTTGGTCTGTAATTCATCAACCTTTTTCTAGAGAGTTGTAGTTTCTCTTCCTAACTTGCTTATTGTTTTTTCCAGCCTTGCTGTCTCCTGACTCCTCAGTAACGCCCATCAATGACAGTGACATCGCTAGAGACAGCGACATCGATGAAAAACAGGAAGAGGCTGAAGATGACCAGATGCCTAAACAAGAGAGTCCAAGACGACACAGTATAGCCATCTGTCAAACACTCCCACAATTCTCCAGTCATCCAGTAAGAAGCTGACTACGGTGCTCAGTCTACCATTCTCCAAGAATTAGGATTATTATTATTATTTGTTTTTATTTGGCCTTCAAGCAAATCAATACAGAAACTGGCAGTGAAGTAAAACAAAGTGAACCAAAACCGAGGAAAACAGGACAACAGATAGTGAGGTGGATAAATGGAGAGATAAGAAAGAGAAAAATAGGCAAACGGGAGACAGGGACTCAATAAAAGCATTATAAGCTGGCCTGGATAGACAAAAGTATTATTAAACACTGTGGGCCAAGGACCTGTCTATTCAAACACAAAATGCCAACACAGAACATATATACATGTAAGATAAAACATTTGCATATTGTCAGTGCTCTGGGCCCAACCTCACTCAGCCACCACACAACACCCCCACACACCCCAACCCAAACCCATCTCACCTTTCTCAAGATACATCCAATTCAAGCCAGTCGCTGTCCTTATGAAACGGTCCAGAGCACAGACAATATACATGAAACAGTGCATTTCTATATAATTGATATAAAATTAGAATAACATAAAAAATCATCCAATAATAATTCAAACTAGTTCAGTAAAACTTTTATCAAAGTATACTTCTCAACAGTGCCTTCACTAGTTTTATTCAGGACCATTGTACCAAGTCTTCGTGTGTCAGGCTGACGATCTCTTTGTCTGCTTTCCAAAGGTGACAAAGAGATAGCTGGGTAGATAGCCAGGCAGATTGATAGTCTCGTCATCTTGTTTCTCAGGAGAGGTATATACCACCGGAATGTCTAGCCTTGACCGTTGACGAGGTGATCCATATCCGGAGTGTCCTAGTGAAAGCGGAAATCGAGAACCTGAGAGTCAACCCAAAGCTACACAACGGTGTGCTCAGAGAAAAGGTCCGTACACATAACTGCCCAAACTGTGTTCCTCAATACCTCTGTGTTTCAAAATTTTGAGGGTCATCTTCTAATAAGTATTCACAGGTGGTGAAGTAAGGTGAACATTCCCCTTGTCACACCCTAACCCTACTTTTGATGCAAATCTCAATTATGGAATTCTAGTGCCCCCTAGATTTTCTCATTCCAGCAGCAAGCATCAGTTATCATAGGCTTAACTTTCCAACCCAACAGATGCAAATACTGTAATTGTTATTGCATTGTTGCAAAGTTTGATTTCCTGTTGTCTAACTGCAGTGTTTGTAAATGGGCAATGACCAGATGCCTCATCAGTTGGGCAGAGACACCCAAACTTTGTAGATTTGGTGATTTGTCATCCTTAGCATTTCACGATCGTGCTTGATGCTCGCTCGATGTAGTCCTTGTTCGATCAATCTCAATAGAAGTTCTTTGAGGAAAGCTAAATTTCTGAAGCATGCCAAGTGACTCATGCAAGCTTGATCCTTGATGGGTACTTGCTTGCAATCACCACAGTTCACTTTTTAAACCCAAATAGTTTTCACTTTTTTCAGAAGAAAATAAAAACACTCTCCATTTCACTTCCGTCTCCCCTATCCAAATGCCTTTACCTGCCATTTAGGTAACTGAGCTGACACATTAGAATTCAAGAAAAGTTCCCATCAGCATATTCGGTAAACTATCTAGATTGAGAGTACTTGTCACAGGGCCTTTGTAGATTGGAATGTATTCATATGAGTTACCGTACCAGCCGAGAAGGTACCCATTCAACAAACCTTAGTCTCCAGCATGGCAAATCATGGGCACGGGCATAAACCTGTTCGCCTACTGAGTCCACAGCTTGTACCTTCATGTGTGATAACACTGTGGAAGATTAGAAGAATGTGTTTGTTGATTTGTGTTATAGCGCCCTCTATGTTAGCTCAGACTGTCTGAGTGAACAGTGACTGCAGTCGGCAGAGTCCATGTATCATTTACACAGCTAGGTATCGAGGGTAGAGTTCATGTGTCAACCTGTGGGCGTGCCTCTGTTGGCATGCACATCACACTCAGTAATAGCCTACACCCAGCCCCTCTCCCTTCACGCTGCCCTGGCTCCGCCCTGCCTCCGCCCTGCCTCCGCCCTGGCTCCGCCCTGCCGCTGCCCTGTCCAGCTCTACTTTGCCCACTTACATGTAAACCATCGATTGTGTATGTTCCCAATGCAGAGGGAGAAATTAGAGGCAAAAAGTGTTGGGATATCATCTGCAATTGTAACAGGGAAAAGGGCACTCTATGGGGGGAACTTGCAAAACAACAAAAAACTATAAACCAAGGATCTTTGAGGGAAATGTTGCAGGAAACTGAATTAATAGGACTCAGACACCAAGATTTGACTTGAAAACAAGGACACAAAGAAATTTATTAATAAAAAATAACCCCCCCCAAAAAAATGCACAAAAATAAAAGAGCTAAGAGACTGAAAAGACTTGACATCAAAAGACTAAAAGTTTAAAAGGACTAATACCTAAACCAACAGAAGGTAAAGCGGACCTTATGAGTTTACACTCAGACTTCAATCACTGACTTCTAGCAGAAGAGGGTGCAAGCAGAAAACCACTCTCCAGACTGGTGCCTGCTGATCTGCTACTCTGAGTTATAGGGGGAAACAGGGGCTTAAACATGTAAACAGGGGGCACGCTACTAAAAAAATCAAGAACTTTAAACTAAAGCTAAACGTTTTTAAAGGGGAACTACTTTTATGTAAAAACGTGTATTTAATAACATACTCATGTCTGACTCTGCCACACAATCAGTCTGCTGTGTTTCAGAATTAAAGGAGTCGGCATGCAAGTCTAGATTGAGGTTGTGTTTAAATTACATTTGGCTGTGGCTTCAAATTACACACAACTGAATGGGGAGTGGCTGAAGCCATAATCTTAGACTCTTGCATAATCTCTAGCCTCAGCCAAGTTCTTCGGACACAGCTTGGACTCACCCAAGTTTGACCCACTTTGGTTTGGAAACGCAGGCCTGTCACAAACATCAGCTAAAATTTCCACATTTTTCAATTCACAGATTTGTTTCTCGTGCAAGAAGAAGTTTGCTCTTTTCAAGCGTAAGAGTAGATGCAAGCTTTGCAAAAGGTAACGTCAGCTCACCTGTCACATGTAGCACTGTAAATACATCCACTTTGTAGACCATACACAAGCCAAAGTTGGTTTAATCATTCAGGTTTGAATTCCAGAAGCATTTTTTAATCCCTGTAGCAATGAATTTTTCTTAAAAACACAGGACATGTGAACATATCACCCTTTTTGGCGAGCTGCAAAGCAAGTGCAAGCCTATGTAATACCAATTTCCGTCTTCTGTTCGTCCGTCCTTGCAGGTCCATAGGTGTTAAAATGTGCCATTGAGTGCTTGTTTGCTGCTTCTTGGAACTCCATCAGTATTTAAAGTCTCATATGGCATTAATGCTTAGAAACTTATGAATTTAATGAAAAAATTATAAAAGTTTTGAGTTGTATTGTGTACTTACCCTGTAGTACATACAGTACATCTGTAATGAGCACTCCTGTAATGTACATGTATGTATGTGTATAGACAGTGTTCAGACGCATACAAATGTACATGTACAGTATGTGGGGAAAATGTAAGGGATGGGGGGTGAACTCCTAGTGAGAGATTGGGATACTGGTTGTGGGAGGGGTATCTGTAGGAGGAGGATCATGGAGACAAGGTACATGTATGTAGAAAGTGGATGATATGCTGGATAAGGTTGGTGTAATGGTTGGGATGGATTAGTGGGATGATGAGACAGCCAGAGTAAGAAGTGAAGAGAATGATGGGGAGGGGTGGAGTAGGAGATGGATAGGATGATGGGGAGGGGGTGGAGTAGGAGATGGAT